CGTCTTGAAGCTTGTTCTGCCCGATCGTTCTCGCTTCAGCTTTCGTACCGGAAAGCTGTGTCGCTTACGATCAGAATATACATTACGCAATAGGACGACGTAAAATTAAAATGGGAAATAACCGTAATAAAATTAAGAAGCGACTGGGTTGGCGTAAGGAAACCGGCATAAATATGATAAAAATAACGAAATAAGTAGCTAATGACCTATCTATCTACTTACAGTATTAGTGATTACAAACATGTCGGTATATAGCATATGACTCGCGGGGAAGTGGGGGCGAAATTAAAATTTGAGCTTAAGTACTATAGCTCCGTAATGATACGTTGAAAATTCCAGTAGATTATTATTTAATCGAAATCCTAAACATATATGTGGGAGAAAGTTTATTTTTAATCTGTTTTTATGTTAGTTTTTAGTCATGGCATGGCAACATTTTGGGTAGTCTGTGGCACAGAGTACCTTTGTATAAACTGAAAGACTGAAAGCGTAGACAGAGAATCCTACTAGCATTCTCTGTCTACGACTGAAAGTTTCTAGTACATAGTCAGTAATCTATGGTCTGTGGCTATGGTCTGTGGTGACGAAAACCATACTTTCCTCTCGATAAACATTGTAAAGAGGCTAAGCAGTTTTATTAAAGATTTTGTGTTTAATTCGACCATTCTTTTCTTCGACGATCCCACAACTATTTTGGGGGCTCGTCCGGGATCCAGAGAAGTATCAGCGTGGAAGAATTAACAACATTTACGAAGAAATCATCAGAAAAATACCGGCGAGTCATTGTGAGAAGTGAACTGTTTTACCGACACGAACCAAGATGGTGCGCGGGAAGTTTTGAATACGAGTTGCATCGAATGCTTCGGGACGTTGCTACCATCGCACTGCTGTACCGACTACGCGTGAGCGGAATGCTGCGGGACGTTGTTCGTGACGTCAATATATTTTTTATTTTTTACGAAATGTAAAGAAAATAAAGATTAGTTTCACGACTGGATTTACGATTTACGGATTTTACGATTGAAGATTATTGTTACCAAAATAATGATTTAAAGAAGATTTTACGATTATTGAAGACTTGTGAAGATTTTTATATTTGAAGAATAACATTTCAAGATGCCGCCGAAAAAAGATATTAAAGATGGAGAAGAACGAGAATCACGTGACACCACATCCTATATATCGTTTGCAGATGTGGAGAAGTCGATGACGTCATTTAGTGGTGATGGTTCTTACTATTTATCTATGGTTCTTACCCGATTTTAACGTGGTTTGAAAAATTTAAAGACACGGCACTGTTGATGAGCTGGACTGAAGTAGAAAAACTGATTTACGCGAAAAGACTCCTAAATGGAACTGCAAAACTATTTCTACGATCGCTCGGTGTAAAAGATTATAAAAAATTAAAACAAGAACTCGAAGATGAATTTGGATCTAAATTGAATAGTGCTGCCGTACATAAAAAACTAAGTTCAAGAAAAATTAAGAAAGATGAAACTTACCAGCAGTAATTTCTCTATATGAAAGAATGTGCACTACATGGAAACATCGAAGATGCAGCACTTATGGAGTACGTTATTGATGGTATCCAAGACAGCGAATCTAATTCCTGTACGTCATTAGAAGAAATTAGATATTTACAAATGTATTAAAGAAAAGACCCAGACTCGACCCAGTGTATCTACTCCATTTACAAAGAATAATAAAATAAAGCGATGTTTTAATTGCGGAGACCTAGATCATCAAGCCCCGACCTGCACGAAGGGTATTAAGTGCTTCCGATGCAATGAATTTGGGCATAAGGGAACTCAGTGTAGTAACAAAGGTAAAAAGACTTTAAATATTCAGAAGACTAAAACAAAAACTAAAACTGATAAAGAAGACAAAGAATTAGAAACTCCATATAAGAAGATAAAGATAAATGATGTCTAAATTACAGCATTAATTGACACTGGGAGTGACGTGAATTTGATAAAGTTATCTGAAGTCGAAAAAGTTATAACAGAAAAAGTCATCTATGACAAAGAAAAATCAATACACCTAACTGGAAATGCTGGAAAAGAACTAAATACTGAAGTACTTCTGAAAGTTAAGGTTTTGATTGATGATTATTATGCTGATTTGGAATTTCACGTAGTACAAGATTATGCTATACCAGTTGAGTAGACGTTGTGGTGGCAACTTAATGTTATTTAATATAATCGTATAAATATCATAAGTACGTTTACTCGACGGCATTAGGGCCCATTTTATTCAACTTAAGACGCTAAGAGTTTCGTGTAACAGTCATATAAATACCTACTTAGTCGCATAGTCGTCATATACACGTTGGCTATTCGACTAGATGTCATGTAATGATAATTGTCGCGACCAGTTCGTGTCGAGTAATGGCGTACAATATGACTTGTATATAATGTAATCGTTGTATTATTATCATTTAAAGATGATGCAACTTGTATTAAGCGAATAATATAACAGATTATATTCTATTTAAAAATCTAAGGAAAAAAATGTTTTGCAATATAGTTTTAAGTAATATAATGACATGAATAGACATATATATGTTATTAAAATTCAGATTGAAGTTTTAATATAATACTTTACAAACAAAAAAATATTCTCGTTTAAATTATCCTTTTTTCTCCACGCACATTAACTTAATTAGGCAGTGTTTTTGACAGCTGAGTTAATATTGAATTTTTTTCTTTGTTATTTGTGGTGATAAAACCATTTCATCAGTTGTAAACCAATGTGCAATCGAGTTTACTGATTAATGTGAGGTAAGTTTGCATTAAAATTTTTAAGCGCTTTTAAAATTTTAATGTTTTCACATATTTTTATTAATCATTTATAAAGCGACAGCGTTATATGACAACTATAGAACTTCCCGACCTATAAACTGCGTGTTTATTGTAAATGTGTACGCCATGACAGTGATTTAGGGATCAATGATAAAATCATAAACTCCTAATTTAGTTTAAAGAATTTATATTTAAATAACAGAAGGATTTGCGTGACTTATAATTAAGTTAAGTCTAAATAATACTTTTGTTTTAGGTAAATCCTACAATGATCTACAATTATGTGTTGGAGATTTATGTATGAAGACTTAATTCCATGCGGACGAAGTAATGGGTAAAGTTAATAATAATATTTTCTTCCTTACTCCTTAATTAATATATAAATGCGAAAGTGATTTTTTTATAATTTCTTCACGCTTAAACAGTTAATACGATTTGAAATAGTATGGGACCCTGAGAAAGACATGGATTTTTATTCCAGAAATTATCACTAAGGGAAAGTTTGTATGAAATTTTGATTCCACGCGTACGCTTATTTTTTCTTTATACTTCTTATACTTATTCTTTTCGGAAAATACCAGCGGCGTGGAGCTAATTGATCAAAATGTCAGTTTTGATATTGCACCACATTCATCTCAAGTTGGGGTTATAGAATTACCATATGATCAAGCCACTGAGACCACAGTAATCCCAAGAATTAGTGCAGAAAAACTGGATAATATAGTACATACAGTAATAAGCGTGGCATCGGCGAATGAAGTAAATATACAAGTACTTTATGATAATCAGCAAAATATTTTACAAAAACTTGCATTATTGAACACGAAATTAGAAGAATTGGTGACACGTATTTCGGTACCAGTAACTGACGTTAATCATCAGGGCGGTAATGACAATAATTTCAAAATTATAAGCAACCTACAGAAACTCATTAGTTTCGAGGAACGTTTAAATAATCCTCAAGCTGAAGAAGATATTTTAAAGTTACTTTCTGTAACTGGTACGAAAGGTAAAAGTCGCGCATATAATAACTTGACATAACAATGTTCTTGGGCAGGAGGTGTACCAGAGGGGAACCAAAAATATGTTTTAAGTCTTATACTAAAACTATATCATTATTTTTTTAAATAATACACCAATCTGATAATAACTTCACAATACCAGAGAAGTGAATAATTTTAAAAAAATGTTATGAGGCATGCTGTTAAAACAAATGAAGCTAAACTACTGAGGGCTTCTGCTCAAAAGAATAGACCAAAAAAGCAGAAGTGTTGCAAGAAAATAATCGCCAGTCAGATGAACAGCAACGTGATGTCCAGAATGTACACCTAGAAAATGCACCACATCAAAAAGAAAATGTCTCATAACTTCATTTGAGCTTCAGCTAGAATGGGATGCAGTTCCTACTGCTTCCCAATCTAGCTGGTCAAATGATGATGGAAAGATATGATGATTTACGGACGGTCACGATAGGTAAAACATGTCATTCTTTCAAATATGGAAATGCAACAGTGACTATTTGATTATTTCCGTTGTTCAATAATTTAATATTGTTTCCTGTTTTTCAGTAATTTTTAAGTTAATTTTGTAATCTTTAACTTGCGAAATAGTTAGATAATACTACTAAAAACTTCTAGTTCTTCCATTTATTAATTATATAGTTAATTAACAGGTAAAGATATTACAAATTTGAATTTTATTTATTGTTATGTTGCGATTTTGTATGTTCTATTTGTGACATTTTATTTTTTGTAATTTTTAATGGCATTAGTAAATAATAAACAATTTTTACTGACTTCTTTATTACCTATTTCTTAAATGTATGAATAAGCGGAGCAAAATATATATTTGAGTTGTATATAACGCTAAACAACTTACAATTTATATCAGTAATATAATATATGGCTTCAGTTTGCGAAATTTCATTCTCATATATCATAAATATATTAAGATATGAAGATTTAATAGGCGTTTCAAAAACATCATTCCTTAAGTTTTCAATTCGATTTCCAATTGTCTGCATACGTCCCTCGTTGAAAGTAGCCCAACACAATTCAACGAGGTGGTTGTTGTTATTCAAAAACCACTTATCTCCATTATCAGTTGAGAGGATAAAGGATTCTAGTTGAATCACTGTCTTAAGTTTACTTCTATATTTGTAACTCTTTATCGTAGAGCAATATTGCCTCGTAGCGTTTCTTAAGTTTCTACTTCTATATTATGTATCTGTATTAATCTATTAGCAATTTGCTGAAGTGGCTGGTTTCCTTTTCTGATCATCCTCTTTATAGAACTCAATTTATTTTCAAAAGGATAAGCATTAAAGCTCTGCAAGGTTCCAAATCTCTTTACTTCGTCTACTACGTGTATTAAATTGTGAACATTGCTTGTAATGTACTCTTGGCCATAAAACTTGCCATAATTGTCAACGAAGTGCTTTAACATTGTTTCTGCGACTGGTAGAAGTTGAAAATGTGTCTTGCTTGCACAAATAGTTACAGCTGAGAAAAAGAACAGAAAATGATGATATGCTGAATTAGATAATACATCCTTTAATATCAAAAAACTTAAATAGAGTAGAAAAGTACGGAACTCAGAACCTTTCCAATGTGACAAATCTTTAAGGCGTCTAACACTCCTGTATATTTCCTTTGGCATCTGACAGCACAGCAAAAATTGAAAGACTTTTCCTATTTCCCTTGCAGGCGATTTTGTAATTAGATTTCCTAAATTTCCATCCCTCCAACCAATTAACCGTTTCATAACACCCAAATCAATAATATGTAGAGAATCTCCAACAGGAAATTGTTCAAACATATCTATTGGCAATGCTAGCAAAGGAGAATCGTACTTGTGGTGATCTCCATACCTCTTAGAACGAAAGTCCGCGTCATTTCTTCGTGGGCAATCAGTCTTTGCAAAGATGACTGTGTGCGATTTTATATTCGCCGACCACTGTACATTTCAAGCAACCATGTTTAGCATTAAAGTTGCATACTCCTGTAAAATATAAAATATAATTAATTGACTTTTATTTAAATTACTACTACTAAACGAAAACCTTTTACTATATTCCAGTTGGTTATCGAACTCAGAATCATTTTTATGTAATAGCGCTTGCTGCCACTCGACCATCAAAGCCGGTACAATATTGCACCGAAGTTCCTGGCTCATTTTGACCAGGATGATGTTTCAGTTTCGAATAAAACATTACTTGAAAAGTCAATAGGAATATAACTTAACAGAAAATTTAAAATTACATATTTGGGATAAGGATACTCACCTTTAACCAAAGCTCTCGCTGGCGAGTCGCATATTAAGGCTCTGATTTTAACTTCGATCAATGTCGACCCCATCTTGCGATGCAATTCTCAAATTATTAGAGATTAATTCTTGTAATTCACTAACAAAAAAAAATGAAAAAATGCGGATGCATTTTATAGTTTACTTGTTCACACATTTCGATTTATCATTTAGGTTTTGTAAAATCGTCTTTAAAGATTCTATAAGACTATTATGCCAATATTGCCCATATTAAAAGAATTATCTGTACATCTTTTTTTACGTTTTAAAAGCGTCCTTGGGTCTAACGGGACTATACAGGGCATTCTTTTGTTTAATATTACATTTAATTGCTTTAATGCAACTTGTGGAATATCAAAATCAATAGCCCACGTTTTTATAATGGTATCTGAAGTCATCATTTTTGGTTGTAGTGTCTAGTTTATCAACATTTTCATTTTCGGACGATGTGTCTTCAACTTCGGAAAATGAACAAGACTTCTGAACTTCGGCAAATGAACTGCAGATTCCCCACACAAGGAACCCCCCCCCCCCACCACGAGAAAAAAAGTATACTCGTAACATTTTGGTTAAACTGATTGGTTAAATTTGCATTTAAATGTAATACGGAACCCTTCTCATTTTCCTCACTCACAGCTTGAGCTCTATTACTTTGTATTAAGGTACATACGTGCTTGAAGTTAGTTATTTTTAACTTTTTTCTGAATGCTCCACTTCTTTTAATACTTTTCCAATTTTGTTGATCCATGTTGTAACAATCAGTAAATAAATATGATAAATTTGATTTCAAAATGGTGGATGTTGTATATAAGGTTATTATAAATCTTTAAATGAGTATTAGTTAAATGGCGGTCGTATTATCATGTTTGAGATACTCAAGGATGTATATAGGTAGCACTTGTAATACTTATTCGACCTGTATATAATGGTTACAAATACTACGTGTAAATAATTATTATCCGTTTAGCAGATGTTTAAAAGGTAATTATAAGACAAAATTGACAGTATTACCACGTTTATAATACGAAAACGTTTACTCGACGAAAAGTTGTATAAGTAAGTTTTATAGACGTCGTCGTAGACGCTATTAAATGACGGTTGTAAAAAAAATGTCGAAAGAACGTTTACATGGCATTATTATACGACAAAAAATGTATATGACTATTCGGACGTATAATGCACCAGTATGTGACGAAGAGTAAAAGAAAATACTTTAAAATAACTTTAAAAAGACTCAAAGTCTTAAAAATGTTTGATTATATGACAAAAATGTTTGCTGGGGAAGCTGGTAAAAGTGTTCCAAAGAGCTGAAGAGTACGGTCTTTTAATTAACTGGAAGAAATGCCACTTCATGAAGAGGGAGATAGAATATTTAGGCTATATAATACGGAATAATGAATTACGCCCGTCAAAAGAAAAGATTTCAGCCGTATCAAGATTTAAAACCCCTCATAACATCAAGTCTTTACAGTCTTTTTAGGACTGTCTGGTTATTTTAGAAAGTTCATCAAAATTTATTCTACAATTCCAAAACCACTTACCAATTTATTGAAGAAAGACGTTGAATTCAATTTTGGTGAAGAGTGCGAAATGGCTTTCAATGAATTGAAAAGAATATTGTGTAGTTCACCTGTGTTACGGATTTACGATCCAGAGCTAGCAACAGAACTACACACAGATGCTAGCGCAGAAGGCTATGGCGCCGTTCTGTTACAGAAAAGTCCTACAGATAATCAAATGCATCCAGTCTACCACATGAGCAAAAAAACGACACCCGCTGAAAGAAAGTATCACAGCTATTACTTGGAAATACTAGCGATTATTGAAGCTGTCAAGAAATTCCGTGTCTATCTACTAGGAATTCGTTTTAAAATCATAACAGATTGCTCTGCTCTTACTAAAACATTACAGAAGAAGGACTTATCTCCACGTGTTGTTCGATGGGCTCTGCTCCTAGAAGAGTATAATTATGAGATAGAACACAGGTCAGGATCAAGACTTAAACATGCTGACGCAATAAGCCGAAATCCTGTCTGCTTGATACTTACCGAAGCTGCTGCCCGTTTGAAGAGACCTCAAGACGACGACCCTCATATCAGTCTGTTAAAGAAAATGTTAGAAAAAGAACCCTATCAAGACTATATTATGGAAAGAGGAATATTATGCAAAGAGAAAGATGGTACGAGACTTATTGTAGTTCCAAAGAAAATGCAGAACGAAGTAATAAGGAAGAAGCATGATTATGGACATTTTGGAGTTAGAAAAACAGAAGAGCTTGTGAGTCGAGAGCATTTTATTGGGAATCTGAAAGAGAAGATTAGAAAAGTTATAGATAACTGTGTAGAATATATTCTGATTGAACAGAAAAAAGGAAAGAAAGAAGGATTCTTACATCCATTAGACAAAGGTGATGTCCCGTTGTCGACGTATCATATTGATCATCTTGGTCCATTGACGTCTACTAATAAAAATTATAAGTACATTTTTACGGTAGTTGATGGCTTTACCAAATTTACTTGGATCTATCCTACGAAATCTTTGTCTACAGATGAAACGTTGGACAAACTGAGAGTGCAACAACAAACCTTTGGTTTCCCTCAAAGGATTATTTCCGATCGTAATGCCGCATTTACTTCAAAAGACTTTCAAGACTATTGTGAACAAGAAGGCATAACTCATTATACAATTACGACAGGACGACCCCGCGGAAACGGGCAAGTAGAAAGAATCCAACAAATCATAATAAGTGTTATAAGTAAATTGAGCGCTGATGATCCGACGAAGTGGTATAAACAAGTTTCCAAAGTGCAACGCTGTCTGAATAGCACATGGGAAAGAAGTATTGGAATGACTCCATTTGAGTTACTTTTTGGAAGATGAGAATGAAGAAATTATGAAATTAATAGAACAAGAAGAAGTTAAGAACTATAATGAGCAAAGGAATGAATTAAGATTAAAGGCAAAAGAGTCAATACAAAAGATACAAGAAGAGAACGTTTAAAATTATAATAGAAAAAGAAAAAAGGCTGCCGAATACAAAGTTGGCGACTTGGTTGCTATTAAACGAACACAATTTACTCAAGGAAGTAAATTGTATTCTAAATATCTAGGACCTTACGCAGTGACATCCAAAAAGCGTCATGAAAGGTACGCTGTAAGAAAAGTTGGTGAATGCGAAGGGCCCATCAACACAACAACCTCGGCTGATCTCATGAAGCCATGGGTCGATGAAGAAGTAGATGAATATTCATCTGAGTCAGATGAATGACCAGGACGGCCGTGTGGGAGAAAGTTTATTTTTAATCTGTTTTTATGTTAGTTTTTAGTCATGGCATGGCAACATTTTGGGTAGTCTGTGGTGACGACGATAAACATTTTAAAGAGGCTTAGCAGTTTTATTAAAGATTTTGTATTTAATTCGACCATTCTTTTCTTCGATGATCCCACATATATTTATTGACATTTTAAACAATATTATACAAATGCTCAATTTTATTGAATCATAGATAAAACGAGAATATCGAAGAGGTTGTTCTTGTCTATAGTTATCATCACTAGTCTAAAAAAAAACGGACAACCTTGTAAAAGACGGATTGTGACGTTCATATTGCTATCTTTTTTTATGCTGTAGGAAATGTCATATGCATAAAGAGTTCGTCATTAATTACTTTGAGAAACTCCCCAATATGGAGTGTAGAGACAAGGAGAACAAACTCTGTATAAAAAGTGTTTATAGAAAAGCGTTAAATAAGGGTGGCGCCACTGTAGCTGAGTGTAAATTTTAAAAAACTTTATATTTTTTTATTGCACAGACTTTCATTATAATTATTTTTATAACAACTCATCATCATCATCATCATTACAGCCCTTCACAAGTCCACTGCTGAACATGGGCCTCCCCCAAGTAATGCCACAAAGCACGGTCCTGAGCCATCTGCATCCATCGACTTCCTGCATGTCTTACCAGGTCATCACTCCATCTAGTTGGGGGACGCCCTACACTTCGCCTGCCGGTACGAGGCTGTGGTTCTTCGAGCTATATGTCTGCGTACGAAGAGGCTCTTTAAAAAATATTCATTATTAAAGCCACCTCCAAATCGGTGAGACGTATTAATTTAGTTGTAGTTTAGTTTTTAAAAACTCCTTTCGACGTTCCCGAAATTTGACTGGCGCAGCCGGTAGGATTTGTTAGTGAAAGCTGTGCCGTCTCTCGAGATATTCAGGTGTCCAAATTTGCCTGGATTCGTGATAGCGGTGCGAATAGCTGTTGGGCAAATTCAAGAACCAAATAAATTTGTCATCAAGGGAAGTGGAAGCGGTAGGCATGGGAATAGCAGCTGGTTGGTGGATAAAACTTTTCACCATCCTTGATACCACTGTTATCCTTCACTTTTAATTTAATTTGTTATTATTGAGATCGGACTTCTCTCATTATAACGTATCTGGTTTTTAATTAATTCTATTTAGTAATAGACACTCTGTTACTGTAGACATAACATAACGCTGATAAGCTTATGGGACGCAGAGTGCCTTTCGCACAGAGATTATTGAACGTTTAAAAAATAAGACTTTTTATAAAAGTAATAAATTAAATCTAATTAAATGTTTACTGTAATATAATAAATAATTAATTAATGTATGTTTTATTAACGCTAGAGATATAATACAGTTTTATTTCATTTATTTGCTTTTTATTACGTTTACATATTTTACAAAATTTATGGTTAGATTATTTTTTATTTTATAAATTATATTGTTATATACTTTAGCGTGTTCTACCTTATATGTTTTGTTATTGCATAAAATAGTGCACTATATTAACTGACTCCTCTGACTCGTGCATTACTCTATAACGATGGAACAACCACAGGCAGCAGAACGACAAACCGTTGTAATTAATCCCATTTCTACAGAAATGCTACGGCTTATTCCACTTTTTAATGGCGACACAAGACAGCAAAATATATTTTTGAGGAAATCTGAATATGTCATTCGTAGTTATAGGGGTGACGAAGAACAAAATTTATATGTATATCACTCCATAACTAGTAGG